GAGAAATGCAAATTAAAACAACACTGAGATTTCATCTCACACCAGAAAGAATGACTATCATCAAAAAATCAACCAATGACCAAAGCTGGAGGGGTTGTGGGGAAAAATGAACCCTTCTCCACTGCTGGTGCAAGTGTAGACTGTTGCGACCACTGTGGAAATCAGCCTGGAGATTCCTCAGTAAACTACGATTAGAGGTCCCATTCAACCCAGGTATTTCCCTTTTGGGTATTTTTCCAGAAGAACTGAAACATCATACCACAGTGATATATGAGCACCTATGTTTATAGCAGCACAATTTGTCACAGCTAAATCTTGGAAACAACCCAAATGCCCATCAACTGAGGAATGGATAAAAAAGATATGGTATTTTTATATAATGGAATATTACTCAGCTATAAACAAAGATAAACTCTAGGAATTTATAGCTAAATGGATGCAACTAGAGACCACACTCATAAGTGAAATAAATCAGACTCATATCTGTATGTAAACATCACATTGTTTCGCTAGTGTAAGAACCTGAAAGAGTAAATAAAATCTAAAATGTACAATAGCTATTCTGAAAGGGAAAGAAACTGCTCAAAAGGAAAGAACAACTGGGATGAGGGGAAAGAGAAAAGAAAGAAAGAAAAGGAAAATATATATATACACAATATAGCTAAGATAATTGTGCTACTAGTTTCTACTGGTTTATTGAAAGGAACAGTTAATATTTAATTGCTTGATCAATCTTACATGCCTATATCTGGTTATCTGAGTAACCAATTTGAAAATAACAATATGTAATACAACAAACCTTGCTAATTTCTTATCACCTTCTTTGAAATTCTGTATTATTTTTACTGTTTTTGTGTTGTTTTCTTTATGTCTTTGTGTTTGCTAATTTGTTTTTGTTCTTTTCTCATTAAAATAAAAAAAGAAAATCAAGCAGATGGGCCCCTGACCAGGGCAGTACATCATAATATAATGGGAGCATGTGCTAGAGCAAAAGCACTTATAATGCAGGAAGCAAAGAGAAAGACCAAGAGGCCAAGGTCCCAAAACCCCTTCACTGGGATGCCACCAGTGACTATTATACTATAATTAACTTTATAAAGTCTTATAAAAAAATAAAAGAAGTGGAGGGGAGAGAAAAATAATTTAAATGTGCTATATATATGTACCAATTCCCTACAGTGAATGTAATCATTATGTATGGCAAACATGTATTAATAGAAGTAATAAATAAATAAATAAATGAATAAAAACCTCCTACAAAGTCCTACTTCTTAAAGGTCCACAGAACCTCCCAATGTGGCCACCCTGGATAACAGACAGACCTCAGGGAGACACTCACCCAAACCATGACAGGCAGGGTACAAGATCCTAGGCATGTGTTGTGTGGTCTAGAAGGAGAGAAGATTCCAATTAGGCACATTTTGCCCAGTTGGTTCACCACTACCAGCGAGAGACAGCATTGATAGGGCCAGGGGCTGATCCTTTAAAAGTGGAGCCTTGGGCAGAGGCACTCTCTGCTCAGGTCTAAGGTGGTGATGTCTTTAGGCATATGATCTAAATTCTTTATGTAGTTTTTTTCATATATAAATGGAAATGAAGCAAGGCTTCCTTGCAGGGCTATTGGAAGTACAAAAGTTAACAATGGTAGCAAAGTGTATTTCTCTTTTCAAGACATTCTAAGGGTTTCTGAAATCATTTCTATGAAGCTAGCAAAAAACAGCTGCCATTCAAGATTTTCAATCTTTCCGAGAGACAGTATATCCAAATGTTTTACAGATCTCATGCTTCTCTTAAGGTTGTGAATGTTTGTCTGGGCTCAACTGTTTTAGCAGGTAAAGCCAATAGGACAGTAAATTTCTGAAGGTATGTAGTCAGCTGTAAATCTGGCATTGGGACTGTACTAGACCGTTTTCTATTACTATACTAAAGTACCTGAGGCTGGGTACTTTGTAAAGATAAGGCATTATTTATCTCACAGTTCTGTAAGGGCATGGCATCAGCATTGACACTGTTCTGGCAAGAGTCTTCTGTCTACAATACAGCACGGTGAATGGTATCATAGCATGAGTACCTGCAAGAGGGTTAGATCACATGGCAAGACAGAAAACTGTAGATCAATTCAGGAGTCAGGCTCATTCCTTTATAACAACTCTTCTGTGCAAACTAACCAGGGTGTACCATGAGAACTATACCAATTCCTTTTGAGGAACTGATGCTCTAAATATCCTAATGACCTCCCAGCAGGCCTTACCTCTTAACAGTTCTATCACCTCCCACATTACCACACTAGGGACCAAGCTTTTGATACATAAACCCTTGGGGGAATCACACCTAAACCTCACCAAAACCACAACAGGGACTAGTAGCTCCTGTATCTCACACCAGTGTTCTATCCAGCAGACACAAAGAATTATATATTGAGTTTTCTACTGCACAAATGCATACGCTTCCCAGAAGATATATGAATGTAACGGATATCAAGTGAAATAAAATGACAAGGGTTAAGGGTTTTTTTCCCTTGAATAAGGTCCGTTGAGCCCTTTATATTCCTTCACAAAGGGCCATCAGAGCTTATACCATACAAAATATATTTTTCTGCTTTCTTGTTTTATTTTTTTAAATATTGCCTCTCACAGTTCTTTTCAAATTTGTGACTTTTACCAAAGATTAAGATTGAAAGGCAATCCATATTAGTCGAAGACTGTCTGTGAGCCAAATACCCTACATGTTATCTTTAAGGGAGATACAGCTGAATTGTAGAGGGTTAAACCAGCATGCACCAAGCCTTGAGTTTGCTCCTTAGCACTGAAAAAAAAAGACTTACCAACAATCAGTTATATGAGTTGTACGTTGATATTATCTTCTTCCAGACCAGGAAACTAGGGCTCACAATATGCACCTCACAATTGATCAACTGATTATTCTTCAGGCTGCCCGGCATCCTGGCAACACATCACCATGGCTCTGGAGTCAAACATTATTTTCCTCCATTTTGAACGTTTTCCCCCTAAACAAAATCATAATATAATTAAAATAACAGCATGTACTTTTAAAGCACCTACTACTAATTTATGCCAAGTACTATTTTAAGGACTGTAATATATTAATTCATGTAATATATGTCTTTTCTGACTACAAAGAAAAAGAAGTTGATTTTTTAAAACATATAGAAATGTTTAGAACATAGTTAAAATAGAATTTAAAAATCTCCCTCTTGATTCAAGGTATTCTTTTTTTACAACTCTTGTCCATTCCACCCAGCTCCACAACAGCTGAAGACAAGATTGCACCGGAAATGGAGGCTAGAGGAGGGTCAATGAACGCAGGAGTTAATGATCCCGGGAAAAGACAGGAAGAGACATCCCTTGAAGGAAGTAAAAAAAAATTCAACACGTCTAGAAAAAGATGTATCTCCTTCCTAGTTATCAGAAAACAGCAAATAATATTTTTCTTTCTGGGATTGGCAGCTACAGAAAAGACTGACAGAGGCAACTGTAAATGTAAGTGCGGGGAGGGAGTAGCGAGCCGACCCCACGTCTGCTACGCTTCTGGTGGGAGTGGAAATTGGGGACCTGAGCTCACTGATGACGTAGATCTCATGTGACCACAAGTCGACGTGTGCAGAAATCCTACTAGTCTGGTCCTTGATCCCGCGTGGGTACCAGCTTCTTTCGGCAGTGCAGGCGGCTGTGCCCCAGGCCAGTGAAAGGAGTCAATTTATCAGAATTTTACAGGTTGGTGTCAGTATGAATGTTACCTGGGGACTTCTAGTGCGGAGGTGGTCTAAGGTGGAGACTTGAGGGTGTCCCTGTTAAGTCCGTCCTTCTACTCTCTACCTCTGGGTCTGCAGGAATTAATAACCTTTAGGAAAGGAACGAGGGGTCCCAAGAGGCGGACAGGGAAACTTTGATAGCTTAAAAATAATCTCAGGCTTCTCTCCCAACACCCAGCCTGTCCCTACACCTAGCTTCAGTAAAGATAGTTCGGAAATAATCAGCTTTTCCCACTCCCTGTCTAATGAGAAAGACGAGCTAACTTACACTGTGGCGAAAACTGGAGGAAAAAAAGATGGGAAACTTTCTGTTACCGAGACCTGAAATGAAGAAAGCTAAAGTAAAGCTACAGCGCCTGGTTTCTGCGCCAGTCGGCCTATCAAGCGCTTCCCCCACCCCCTCCTTTCTCTGGTTTGTCCGCAGATCTCTTCTTAGCACCGCCCAACGCAAAACAATTAGGACTTAGAAACTGCCCCAACTGGTGCTAGGTAAGTGAGAGGGACATTGTGAAGGCTCCTGGCATGGTCGTGGGTGAAGGTCTTCACAGTCCCTTCTTTTTTCCACTTCCTTCCTGTCTCCTCCAGCCAGCCCACTCTGCTGTGGGAGGGCACTGTGTTAGGATCTGTGAGAACGAGGTGTTTGGAGCGGGCTGGGAGTCTGGAAGGGGGACCTTGGAAAAGGCTGGAGGAAGAGGGGAGGCAGTGGAAAGTGGGGGTAAGAGGGCTGGGGCCAAGGGGACCCAGAGTGCTGACTGGGCTTCTCAAGTGGAAAATATTTGGGGATGAGAGTTCTGAATCCAAAAAAGCAAATGCTTAAAACTCTGCAGAGCACCTGTACACTCACCAAGCCTTTGACTTACTGCCTCCTTGCTTCCTAGAAGTAACTGCGTTCAAAGGGGAGTACGCAGGAGAGAAGAACAGAAGAAGGAAGGAAGGGGAAGCAGACAAACGATGAAACCCTGCCAAAAAATGGAAGAAAAAACAGAAAATGAGAATGAGCCAAAATGTGAGGAAGAACCAGAAACTGAGGAAAAACCAGAGGAGGAGAAAGAACCCAAAGAAGAGGAAAAAGCAGAAGAAACTTTTAGAGAGAGGTTGATTCAATCGCTGGAGGAATTTAAGGAAGATATACACAACAGACATTTAAGCAATGACGATAAGTTTAGAGAAGTCAATGAAATAGATGAGATAAGGCGCGTAAGAAACAAACTGATCGTGATGCGTTGGAAGGTTAATCGAAACCATCCTTATCCCTATTTAATGTAGTTTGATTTCCGTGTTATTTGATATTAACATTGCCATATAGCTTTCCTTTTTATTACCATTTTCCTGATATATCTTTGTTCATCTTTCTACTTTTAGCCTGTTATTTTTAGTGCTTTTAGAGGTATCTTTTGTTATCTGCATCTCACTGTTTATTGTATTTTGAACCAATCTACAAGTCTTTATGTTTTTAAAATTTTTTCTTAGTACATGTTTTCAGTGCAGAATGACGATATTCCTTGTGGGGAGTTGGTGCTTGAACATCACACATCTCAATTCTTTTTTCATCCCCTTTCCTTCCCTCCTCCCTCCCTCCCTTCTGTCTTTTAATAGGAGAACTTTACTCATTTGTAAAAGAGAAAAGTTTCCTGATATGATAAAAAATGAGAAAAAGATTACTAAGTCAGTCGTGTGTGAATATATTATTTTTGAAAGGTAAAAATGCATTTGTATATAACATATATGCATATAAAAACTTGTGAAGGATGAAAGATAAAATGTACAGGCTCAGTGGTGTGATTATGAATGATTTTTCTTCCGCTTGTTTGTATTTTCCACATTCCTAAAATGAGCACACATTATTGTTGTTAAAAAAATAACTGTTTTATAACTAAAAAGGGGGCAACCAACAATACTAAGTAGCTTATTTTTGAAAGTGCTAAAGCACATATTACTTAATATTACAAGCAAATGTGAAATTCAAAGTGCCACCAAACCATTTAGCTAGAATGAATTTTGCATCTTTTCTCACCTGTAAAATAAACATCATAATCTCACAGACACATTGTGGGTATTGAGTAAATAATTGAAAGCTATTTAACAGGGTTTGCTCCCCATCTTCTCATGCATGGTCCAAACTCTACAGATTTGTTTCAGCTATTTGCAATTATGGAAAAAGTAGTTGTCATCTGTACTTGAAAACAAATCCAGGAAACTGTTAGGTGAATGCCACCTTTATATTCTGTCCTGTGCTCTCCCGGCATCCTATCTACCATCCCTTGACACTAACATGTATTTTGTGTATTCCTTCGCCTTTTGCCAGATCCTGCACATTGCAAGCCCCTGTGGCTGTGATGTGCTTGAATTTTCAACTAGTAAACCCTAGCATATTCCTTTGGACACTCCAGTGTCCTGAATCCCCAGAATGACCTCTATATAATTGAGGAGGTTGCCTGCTTCTTCACTTTGTATAGACACTTACGTAGTGCTCCTCGGGCAAAGGTGTCTCATACATACCTGGTACATACCTGGGCAGTTTTTAGATTTTACCCTTTTCCCTTCATGCAGTATAGATATTCTGGGTTCATCTGGGAGTTTGATTCGACAAGTCTGAGTAAAGACATGCTTTAGTCAAAATTGTTCCTCTGGACTTGAAGATGCCATTGTGTCTTCCTAACTTCTATTTCTTTGGGGTTAGTGATTTTTTTTTGTTCTGAAGACTGGTGGTGGGAGGCCCTCTCTATTCGTTCAACAGGTACCTCTAGATTCGTGCAAATTTTAAAGGGAGGCTTCAGTCAGTCTGGAGATACTCAGATCCCTGGCTGGAAATACATCAAAGTGCTGTGTCAGGTGTGCTAGCTGTGCGTTCTTTTCTTCAGTGATAATATTTTGGGAGCTTTTCATGTCTACAGACCATTCTGCAAGTGTATATCATCAGGACAGGTGCTGGTGGGCCTGGAATTCCAACTGGAATGAGAAAAGATTCCAGAGACTCACTGTGCCTTTTTTACAAGGCAGGATAAATTCAGCTCCCTGGAACTAAGTAGTGGGGCACTTGGCTAGGATGGGAAGGGGCTCACCCAAACTACACTCCTCTCTAGCATGGGCCTGCCTTTGATTTCTCTGCTCCAGCCTGCAGCAGGTTCCAGGCTCTTCAGGACTGAGGGCCAGGATTTCCTGGATAGAGTTGCCTGCAGGAGGACTCCTGTCCCTACTGTAGATCAAAGCACTAGAGTTCCTTTTCCCCATTTTTCCTTCTCAGGAGGTGTTTGAAGAGAATTTTTTTTTACAAGTCACAAGATAATACCTCAAAATGTACTAAATAGAAACATTGGTTATTGTAGTCATTGTCTGGGACATGACTGCTCTGGATGTAATGAGTTAATTTGAGGTTAAAGTAGAAGGGCCCAATGGTAGGGGGAGACTATTATAGGTGGTATGCAAATATTTTGGATTGCAGTGTCTACATATTAATTTAATGTGCATTAACATGTATTTACACTTTAAAGAAAATGATAGTTAAGATTGAAGGTGGTGTTCCAAAATTTCCTTTTCAAAAAGTTATGGCAATAATATAAGTAAGTTTAAGAACAACGGGGCTGGGGATTTAGCTCAGCGGCAAAAGCGCCTGCCTTGCAAGCGCAAGGTCGTGAGTTCGGTTCCCAGTACCGGAGAAAAACCAAAAAAAAAAAAAAAGTTTAAGAACAACATTAGGTAGAATACAATTTTAAAAACATCACAGATATGGCAAAAATCATGTTGTTAGGAAACATTTTGCTACCGTAACTGCATTAAAGATAATATCGGCAAACACAAGTCAAGAGCACTGCAGACTTGGAGGTTTTACCCTATTGATAGGTTAACAAGCTAGCTTATGCCATTTAATGGACACCAGAAAAACACACTAGACTTCTAGATCAGGTAGTAAGGACATCATTGCACTATAAGCAGTAGCCATAGCTTCATATTGCTTTGTATTGACTCCCTTTGATGCCTGAATTCCATAAGGTGACATAAACCCCATGATGGATACCTGAAATGCAATACTTTACATTATAGGAAAGAAACCCTGTGTTGGGGAGCTTCCAGTTTTCACAGTAAGCAGAAGCAAGCCTTCTGCGTGTCCAGGGGAAAATGTTAACCCATCCCTCAAGGCTGGTTGCTGCATACACAATAAAATTGAACTGCCAGGATAAAAGGTGGTCAGAGCATCACATTCTTGGCATACAATAAGAACACTAAGGGATGCTCAGGGCACATGGCATACTGCATCTCCCAATAACAGTTTTCTCTTTCTAATAAATCCTAGTGTCGATGAGAAGTCTTAAGATTAAACAACCTCTGAGGAACTTTAGAGCTACACGAAGACATAGCTACCCTGGCATCACAAAATAAAAGAAGTGAAAATGCAAAGCAAATTGATTAATTGGGATTCTCATTCACCACTGAGTAATCTCATGCAAAAATTTTCACTAGCAAACTGACAGGAGGATGTGTGCTTGAAAATCAGAACCAGATTCCATACATATTCACCACAGACTCTGTAAAAAGCAAAAGCTAAGAGAAAAGTTGGTTTCTTCTACTTTTAAGGAAAATTCAAAGTAGAATTAAGGTCAGAGGAGCGGGATCTTCACCCACATGACACTACCCAAAACCAGTTATTTGATTTTCAGACATCAGCGTTTTGCAAGAGCCTTAGCACAAGCAGCTGCATCACTTGCTGGATAACTTAGGTATGGAGCACA